GGATATGATTTTGCTTGAGGACTTTTTTTTATTTTATTTTTTATGGGTGAAATGGTTGGGATAATTCTTGCAAGAAATCTTTGGAATTAATCAAAAATAAATTAACGACAAATGATGTTCTTGTGCATTTTTAGCCTAAATTTCCAATTAAATTAATTGCAGATGCATCAAATGTGGGAATAAGAGCCATGATATGTCATGTTTTTAAAGAAACTATTGAGAAATATATAGCTTCTGCTTCGCGTACCTTATCAAAGTCCGAACAAAAGTATTCCCAAATTGAAAGAGAGGGCCTTGCAATAATTTTTGGTTTAAATAAATTTATTGAATATTTATATAGACATTTCTTTAACCCAGCTAAAGGTATGCTCCAATTTTCAGCCAATAGACTACGTAGATGGCCAGTAATATTGTCAAATTACAATTATAAAATTTAATATTTGAAATCGGAGCATAATATAAGCCAATTTTTTTATCACGTTTACCTATTGAAAGTCAAAATGAGAGCCAAAATGAACAAACATTTTAAAAATATTTTTTAAATTGTGTTTTATGTGTTTAGGGCTTGTTTTCTCTAATTTTGACATATAAAGTAATTTATTTTGTAATCGCAGCAAGTGCCAAAACGATCTACTTTATGCAACCAGTTGCATAAAATAGAACACTATACAACTGATTACGAAAAGTTGATTATGTCACCAGTTACGAAATGGTTGGTTTTTAAGTCAAAAAATCAAAAAATCTAGTAATCTAAAAATCTAAAAATCGAAAAATAAAAAATCGAAAAATCCAAAAATCCAAAAACGAAAAATCGAAAAAAAATTGAAAATATGACATTACGTTTAACAACAAAAAAAGAAAAGCTGTAAATTGCGCTTTATTTTTAAATAATTGAACACCGTTATTGAAAACTGCCCAGAAATGTTGGGGGTAAAATTTTGACGTACTCCTTCAAGGATAATAGGTAAAAACGTTTTTTTTTTCAAATTTCTCGCAGGTAATGTCAAATCGGCAACACTGCACATGTGCTTTTTTATTATTACTATTGAAAAAAAAAAAAAAAAAAGTCGTAGGACAATCAAATACAACAATTTTCTAAAATATTTGATTGGAAGTATCTACAAAAAAATGATGGTGAATCATTTTTGAACACAATTTTATAAATAATTGAGTCAAAATTAGAAAAAATCGTGTATGTAAACACGTAACGAAATGTCGATTTGTGTAACTCGTTCATTTTGCGGGACCTCGCTCCGCTCGTCCCGTAAATATTTACTCGTTACACAAAATAAGGCATTTCGTAACGGGTTACATAAATAGCTATTAATTGACTTCCTAATATTTTATATCATTGAACGGTATTTTCCGTAAATAAATAAATCATAAATAATTACCGACATATAAGTACCAAAACATTTTTTTATCTTCAAAGAGTAGGCTTATGTCAAATAAACTTAAAATATTATAACGAACGAAAGGGTAACCCATTTCTAATAAAATTTAATTATTTATTTTATTTTGGTGTGATCGTAGAAAAAAATCTTGTGTGTAATTCGAGCAAAAAGTACTTTGACTGTTTCGATAACTTTTTGTCTCAACAGCTATTTTGTTAGAATAATTTTATAAACTTTTACTTAGGGTCGATTTCACCGTTTTGTTGCACGAAGTTTAAAATACTAAACGAAGATTAAAATGACATTTTTATATTAACAAAAACGGAGTTTAAATTACTAAATGGAGATTAAAATTACATTTTTACATTAACAATGTCATTTTATTCTTCGTTAAGTAATGTAAACTTCGTTTGACACAACGGTAGAATCGGCCCTTAGCTAGCTATATATTGATAAAGTGTTATGCGCTGGTTCAGTGATGATGTAATTATGGTTCCACTGACAATAACAGTGACAGTAGATTTTTTGAGTGCGTTTTGTTCGTTTCGTTTACCTAAATTATATCGTTTTTTTCACTTTTATAAATATATTCCTAAAGTAAGTAGATAGCATGTATCAAATATACAATCGTTTAATTACCAATTACATACCTTTAAACTATTTCTTATGACCTGTAAACAATATTTTGAAGTAAAATAAAAACAGTAAAAACGTATATGTCAAATTTATTGATGTTTTTGTTAAAAGTTTTGGTTAGAATTAAATGTCAGTGGAACCAAAAAGACATCACACTGAACTAGTGCATTGCGCTCATCATAAATGAATCGTGCTAACAAATAAAGTCAAAAAAACGTCTCATAATTTTTCATATTTTAGTTACCTACCAAAATTAGGTACTACAATACAAATATTTAGGTCAGGTCCAGAACATCTCCCTACTCCTTCCACCCAGTTTTTCGGTTTTGGCAAAATTCGCGCAGCGACAAATGCTTCCTATGTTACCTCTACCCTTTCTAACCTCTTTGGGGAGCACGTACGGGAGTCCAATGTACAGAAACTAGCCATGCCGAAGATAGAAGGACATCAGCTGAATTGGAGGATCATTAGGAACATGGTGGAAGTAATCTTTCAAGACACCGGACTCCAAATACTGGTCTGCAGCCATTCGCCCAATGCCCAGGTTACAATGAAGACAGTCCTTTGTTATTTCCATGCAACTGGAAATTGTAAAAGAGGGTTTCAGTTGCAGATACAACCATTTCATTTTAGTTTCGTAAGAGTTCCAGGAGGAACTATCTCTTAAGAAGGGGGAAATGTAATGTGAGCCATTTCATTATTCAGTCATGCTTTAATCCTCCAAGTCCCTCTCTTTGGCATTTGAGGCTCAACTTGTCCGATTATCATACATAATTAAACCCCTTAAGACCAAACATATGTGACGACTATGGCGGAGGAGATTTTGATGACTATTCGAGAAAAAACGGGATAATGTTTATAGTGTATTCCAAATATGACGAGATGTCTCTAGTATTGGTGAGAATTGGTGAACATTTAACTAAAAATTAACCAGCCATAATTCAAATAAATTGAAACCACTTTGCCAAACTTTTAAATTTGTATATAAATATGGGACAGTGAAGATAAATAGTGAACAGTTTAAAGACATTCGAAATATATATAAATTAGAATAGTAGTGTTATAAAATAAATAAGTATTTAAAAAATTAACCAGCATCAGCCAAGTCTGATTGACTATTATCTTCTAAATAGTTTTTAAATTCTAATGTCTGCCAGTGCTGCACAAAAGTAAAAAGGGTAAGTTTTTCTATATTTTTGATCTTCTCCAGTTTTTCTATCATTGTGTTTCTTGATTTATTTTAACACAATAAAACCTTTCTGCGAAAATAAGGAATTACATCTGTCATCTGTCAAAGTCTCCACACTATTCCGATCCCGAATCACGATAGTTTATATCGTTCAATGTCCATTTTCTTTTCTAAGACTTCGATGATGTGCGAACTAGATAGACACTTTGTGAATCGAATAGAGAAAGACATTACATAAGAATCGCAGTCTGTGGAACGAAGATACATACTTATCGAAAAATGAGAATCCCACTGCAATATTCATTTATCATTTCGACTATTTTTTGGCAGGTTGTTATCATATTATATCAGATCTCAGCTGAGTCAGACTTGGGTGAGTCGTCCTTGAACGAAAATCGAATTTCGGCTACAACTTCTCTAAAGTTCCAGGTAGTTCCAGTGTAAACTAAAATTTAAAGATGGATAAGTGCAAATATGTAACTGTTAAGTATATTTACGGATTGTTACAATCCATCTTTAAATTCACGCGCGATATAACCGAACTTCGATTTTCGCTGAAGTTTTTATTTGTACCTACAAAACTTATCGAACCTGTGTTTTAGGTTTTGCAATATATTTTTGGATAATTTGATGTTGATAATTTACAAAAATAGATGAGAATTTACCTTTATTCATAGTTTAAAAATATAACTATTGTGATGTTTGTTTATTTTAAACAACAGTTTATTTTTTAATAATTTATTTAATCATTTATTTATAACACTCTTATTCTAATTTATATATATTTTGAATGTCTCTAAACTGTTCACTATTTATATTCACTGTCCATATAATAACTAACTCTGCTGGGTCCTCCACCAATATTTATATACAAATTTTAAAAATTGGCTAATGTTCTAGAATGTTCACTTATTCTCTCTCATAAACTAGAAACATTATCCCGTCCTTTCTTGAATAGTCATCAAAAGCACCTCCGCCATAGGCGTCCCATAGGTTTGGTCTTAAGCGGTTTTATTATGTAAAATAATTGGACAAATTGAGCCTCAAAGGCCAAATAAGACAGAGAGGGACTTGGAGGGTTAGAGCATGACTGAATAATGAAATGGCTCACATAACACTATTTTTACAAGAACATACTAAAAGCTACCGAATATAAACTAAAATTTGCAAATGTTCCACATACTTACCGAAATAAGTTATTGGAAGATGAAAATAAACTTGCAGCAAGTGTCTACAACTTTTTATTTTTAAATTAGATATAAATGTGTTTTATTAAAGTTTCCATACAACTTACGAAATAGGTTTAAGTTGCAAGCCAAAAATAAATTTGCAGCAAGTGTTTGTAAGTTTCTATGTTTAGTGAGTGATTGGCGTTAGTTATATTACACCACATAGAGTATCTTCACATTGCTAGCTCTGGGTTTTGAGAACCAATTTATGTCGCCTTCTGATTATGGTTTAAAAATTGTTTGAATAATTTATGTGAAAATATCTAAACCTTTTACCACATAAGAGTGTAATGTAAAAATATTTGCTTCTGTTACTTCTTAGGACTGCCTATGTAAACATATTTGTAATTCTATCTCTAGACAACAGAGAAAACTGCACCTTCCGGAAAATATGTCTTAGATTCGATGAGATAACTTATGGATATCCCGTTCTTATCGATTTAAAAAATGTTAATTAGAAAGCCCGCTAAAGGGTTAAATAACTTAGTGGCTGATTTTTTGCTACCTTTATTACGGTAATCGCAGACTTAATAATTTATTGTTATTGTTTAGATATCAGATCGTGGATTAATTTGGAATACAGATATAGTGGATGCGTTAGAATTGCAAAATTTATTTATTAACGCTCTACAAGCAATTTACTCTATGGAACAAAGAAAGGAATCCAGAGGAGCTCATGCTAGAGATGATTTTCCAGTAAGTAGCTATTTGTTTATTGTTTCTTAGGTTACAAATTAAACAATATAATGCATGACACCTTAATATAAAGTTATTTACATAATTAAATAATGAATTCGTGAATGAATGTATATAATACACTGAAATGTTATACCGTGGTAACCAACCTCTGTTTATGGTTGTTATGGGAGTCATAATGGACTAGCCCGCTAAAATTTTTAACAATAGATATGTCTGAATTGTTAGTTGTAACTGAACTGTCATTATTTTAAATCATATTTGGAAACTTGTGATGATGACGTCAAATAATAAAATTTGATTTGATTTAAAGTTGTAGAACGTAGTAAATTTAGTCCAGTAACTGAAGGGACAAACCTGTCATTAAGTCGGTCCAGATTTCCATTGTGGCTCAACTCTTAGGTCTCGGCGGTCGCTTTCAAGGTCGAAAAACTTTTACCAACTTTGCTGCGTCGGAAAGGGCCCAAAATGGACCCTAAAACTGGCTTCCCGCCAATATATTCCACAATATGCCAATTAGAGAATTTTTGTTTAGAAAAAAAAAGAAAGATCTTATCAATATCTACAAAAATGGTCTTTATCATTTTTGTCGGGAATTCGAAACGTTTCGAGATAACCGCAATCAAAAGTCCCTCGTTCAGCCCCTGCTTTATCTCTATAGCAATGCTGATTAGCTTGTAAATGGGTGGACAAATTGTTTTAGAACTCTGTCAAAAATTGATATTTTTTGATGATTCAAAGTTCATTACAATGGGAAAACCCGTAGGTATCGATCCATGTGCCTTGAAGCCCGTTATTTCCTGTCAAGAACATTGAAAAAGGGGTCAAAGTTGCGTTCTCCTACTATTTTGGACCACTTTATACTAATTCATTCATATTTTTTTTCTTTTAATAGTTTTTTATCCCATTTTTGTTTTAAATGGTATCTTGAGATGTCTCGAATGATCTCAGAAATTTTTTTCCAGTATCTTCCTGGCGTTTTAAAACAAAATTGATTTGTTTATTTGCATTTTTCATATGCTTTCATTATATTGTTATTCAATGCACATCGTTTTAAAGCTTAGAGTGTCTACTTTTTGAATGTATTTTTAATAAAGTTGCTCCATTTTCCAGAAATGGCGAAAATTGATCACACCGGGGAAAACCGGACTTTTTTTTAAATACTTCTTGTTTCCCGCTGTTTTTTAACATTAATACCCAGACCGAAGTGAAGCTGATATTCTCACCTTTCCATTTCTATCAATTGATCCCCGTATGTGAGCGTGGTTCTTAACTGTCTGTTAGAATTATCTCCCCCATTTTTACGCTCTCCGCCTGAGATCTATGATATTCCATCATAACCTAACCACGTGTAACCACGCGCCACGCGCTCACCTTAATCGTCTGCTTTTGTTGGTATACAATCTCTGTTGTTTTTGGAGCCGTTTTTGTCAGTTGTTATATATTTCTTTTGTATATTTAAAGAATATTCACAATTCTGGGTTCGAGTAGTACAATAATAAAAAATGATTACTTTTCTTCTCTATATTTAACACAAATGAGTTAAAGTGGAATATATATCGAAGATTTGGGGTTGAGGTAAGTCTTTTGTTGCTATATCTATCATATGATTATTTCTACAAATGTTATTCTTTTTTTTTTCTAGGTTAAAACAAACATAAAATAAAAAGTCCTTTAGATACAGAGCTTTTAGCGGCACTTCTAGAAGATTTGCTTTACAAAGTGAGTGTAAATTACCAGAAAAATTAACGAAATTAAGTGTAAAAGGGATCCGGCCCCCCCCGGAACTCTTGAAGATGATTTTTTTTCAGTGCAAGACAGGCTGCGAGAAGAATTGTTCATGTTTGAAAGCCAGAATGAAATGCTCGCCTGTCTGTGGTTCGTGTCAGTCGACACAGTGTTTTAATTATAACAAAAATGAAGGTATTTTCCCGGAAGAATTTAGAGATGAATCGACACCCAGAAGGGGTTGAAGGGGAGGAAAAACAGGGGGAAGGGACGCGTGGAGGAGGGGAAGGAATAGAGCAAGAGCAAGACGATGAAGAGTATGATTCTGATGACATTGAATGGTTTAGTATAATAAATTATAAACATTGCTATGTATTTCGTATTTTTAATATGTTTTTCATAATAAAAGAAATTTTTCAGAAACTTTCTTTTTTTTCTGAAACCCTGGACCTATATTGTTCCGATAAAAGTTGGCGAAAATTTTGCAGAAGACGCAGAAAATATAAAGGGTCTTCTAGGGTCAATATTCATCACACTCTTAAACTAATAACCCACTATTAGGCAATTTGAGACTGCCACACGAAAAAAAAATTTTTTTTGCACTTTTCTATTAAATTTTGCAACGCAAATTACACAGAACATTCGGCAATATAGATGAGATAGCTCAAGCGCTACTTTACAGAAAAAATCCCGTAGAATCCGCCAATAATTGTCAAAAGATCGATTGGTGCCCGGATTTCCATTCATAGGCCCCATAATTTAGCGAGCAGAGGTATGCCGCTGGCGCCATCTACAATTGGTCTCCAAAGTCCAAAACATGAAAATCAATGTATTCCCAACTCCCTCGAGCGAAAATTCAATGAGAAACTAACATTTCTATTCAGTACAAAAATTCGGGCTTTTTCGAAGGCCGTTTTTGCAAAAAATATTCGTCTTGCGAAAAAAATGGTAGAGACTATTTTTTTAGATAATGATACGATCTTCATTTTTTATCTAAACAAAAATTGTCTAATTTGTATATTTTGGCAGATATTAGCGGGAAACCATTTTTTCGGACTTTAGGGGCAATTTTGAGCCCTTTCCGACCCAGCAGTGTTGGTAAAAGTTTTAGCCCTTGAAAGCAACCGTCAAGACCTATGAATTGAGACACAAAGTAAATCTGGACCGACTTAATGACAGCTTTGCATATTTTCAGGTCTTCAGTTACTGAACTAATTGCAGTATATCATAAAACGTTGTACGATACACGCCCATTACCTGATCTCTATATGCTTTCACGGTCATATAACGTGCTCGCTTGCGCTCGCATATTAACGATTGAGGTCGCATGTAAAGATCTAAGTAACGGACTTACAACGTAAACTTATATTGTTGAAATATACGAGTATACGATAAATAACAGCATACAAAATATAATGAAAAACAAAATATTTACCCTAATTTTTTTTTATATTTAAGAAAGCTAAATTTCATCAAGTAAATTATTTGAAACAAAATTATTTGACAATACAATTTACTCGCCTGTCTATATTGTATTATTCTTGCATTCATTATCTTATTATACTATTTAGACAGTAGCCTGTGAAGAGTATTTATTATGCCTTGCTTCATCCGTCCGTCCGATGTTACGTTTTTTGTCCGCACGATAAGTCAAAACCGAAAGAAGATATCAATTAGAAAATTTCAGAAAAATCGAGCTATATAATGGGACGAAGTGTATTGATTTTGAAAAAATCTGAATAAAAGTAGGGGGGTTAAGAGGGGTAGAAATAGTAAAAAAAAATCGTAACTCAGAAACTTAAAATGATAATTGGGGATTAACATGAAAATTTTAACAAAAATCATGCTCTACAAGGCAAAAAAGCCTATGGATTTTAAAAAATATCTGAATAAAATGGGTGGGTTGAAAATAAAAAAAATAAAAAAATAAATCAAAAATAGGAAACGAAAGCGATACCAAAATAAAATTTTGATTAAAAATCAAGCTCTATAAAAAGATGAAGCCTTGAAAAAATCAGAATTAAAATAAAGGATCGAGGGGGATTTTATTATTTTAAAAATCCTAACTTGAAAACAAAAAAGATATTAACTTGAAATTTTTATTTAAAATCAAGCTCTATAAGTAAATAAAGCCTACTGATCCTAAAAAGAAATCTGATTAAAAATGGGAGATAAGGGGAGTTGAAATTAGGGCTGAGTAATTATCAAAATAATTATTCGATTATAGAATATTTAAAATAATCAATAGAAAAAAGTCGATTAATCGAAAATAATCGAATAATCGAAAATAATCTATTATTCTAAAATAATCTATTAATCGAAAATAATCGATTAATCGAAAATTATCAAAAAAATTGAATAATCGAAAAAATCTTAGTCTAAAATAATCGATTATTCGAAAATAATCGAATGATCGAAAATAATCGAGTGATCGATTAATCGAAAATAATCGATTAATAAAAAATAATCGATAATTCGAAAATAATCAAATAATCGATAATTCAAAAATAATTGATTAATCGAAAATATCGATAATTCGACAATAATCGATTAATCGAAAATAATCGATTAATCGAAAATAAGCTTTTAAATAAGATTTTAAATTTTTGTTTGTTTAAAATAAATTATTAAAATCTCTGAAATGTGATAAATTAATAAAAAATAACAAAAACAAAATAAAACAGTTTATTAAAATATCATTTAGTCCTACAAAATGAGTTCTGATAAGTTAACAATACCACAAGCAATTCTGCAGCAATTACTAAGTAAATTTACTTGCTTAAAATTCACACAGAAATGTAAAATGTTTATGTAAGCAGAAACTGCAGAGTTGCCATAGAGCTTCTAAGTTATCATGACAACACTGCAGCAAACAAATACTTGACTATGACTAGACAGAATCTGCGCGTAGTCACAGGCATTCTGACTGGTCATTGCCAAGTACGGAAGCATCTCCATATCATAGGGCTGTCAGAATTCGCACTGTGCAGAGGGTGCGAACAAGAAGATGAGACCATCGAGCATATCCTTTACGATTGCTCGACGCTCTCATTTATTAGAAGATTTGTTTTCGGCGAGTATCGGCTAACACCGAACAGCTCTTGGCGACGTTGTCAACTACATTAAATATGTAGGCTGTCTCACGAGCTAGGAGGTGCCTATCATCTTAGGAGGATGCACAATGGGACTAATAAGGCCTAATGCCGTGCTGATAACCCACTCTCCACACGTTGAAGATACAGATACAGATGTAAGCTACACTTTCCTTCTCA